GGGGAGTGCTGGGTCCATCTTTGATCTGAAACAGAAGCCCATTTGCAGGTGGCTGAGGAGGACTCTGCATTTGGGGAGCACCACATTCAGCCCCCGATGCATCCCCAGAGGCACGTTCTGCCCTCGCCTGCTCTGCTGCAGCTTTGCCTAGGGCTGACAGCAAAGCACGGGGGGGACAGGGCTGTCCCTGGTCCCCTGTGCCGCAGCCAGGACCCCCAGCAGGTCCCCACTGGGTGCTGGAGCTGGTGACTAATGCCCCTTTCTCCTGCCCCCGCCTCTTGCCTTCATTGCAGGGAGCATAATGCTGAACAGCATCACCGATGGGCTCCTGTGCTGCCTGATGGGCAAGACGACGAACGCTGTGGGGCCACTGGACAGCGTTGAGTCCAGCAATGGCTACAGCTTCATGGAGGTGAAGCCAGGGAGGATCCTGCGGGTCAGGCACAGCATGCCCAACCGCCCAGCCCCAGAGGGACCCGAGGAGACCCAGCCCGGCGGGCCGGAGCGGGGCACGGTGCACTGCAAGCGCAAGATCACTGTCTACCGCAACGGGCAGCTGGTGATCGAGAACCTGGGGGACGCCGTCCGCTCCGAGATCCTGCACTGCCAGAACAGCTCAGGAGAACCCAACAGCACCGTGGAGCTGGAGCTCTCCGACCTGGCCGGCCAAGCTCCTGCCCAGGGTCCCGCTGGCACACCAGGATGCGGCACACGGGAAGCAGCCACTGCCCCTGGCAAGCGTCGGAAGCGTAAACCCAAGAAAGTCATCAACATCGACTGCAAGAAGCAGATCACGAGCTGCAAAGGGACACACAGCGATGTGGTCCTCTTCTTCATCCACGGTGTGGGCGGCTCGCTGGACATCTGGAAGGAGCAGCTGGACTTCTTTACCAAGCTGGGCTACGAAGTGGTGGCTCCTGACCTGGCTGGCCATGGCTGCAGCTCGGCTCCCCAAATTGCCGCCGCGTACACCTTCTACGCACTGGCGGAGGACATAAGAGCCGTTTTCAAGCGCTACGCGAAGAAGAGGAATATCTTGATAGGACACTCTTACGGGTAAGGGACCAGGGGGTCCCAGGAGGGAAGGGCTAGATTCATCCCCCCTCATCCTCTCCTTGGCAGCAAATGCCCAACAAATCCTGCACTTCAGGGGCTGAGAAGCAGAGGAGGGGTGTGGGGTTTCCCATTCTGGGTTTATCCCTCAGCTCTGATCTCCTACATCCTCTTGGTGTGTGTCCCTGGGTCCAGCTAATCCCAGAGCCCATCCTCCAGCAGGGAAGTTGGCAGAGCACAGCCTATAAATAGAGTAAGCCCAAGAAAGTCAATTAGATGGAGACTAAGCAGTGCAGAGAGCAGGGCTAGGAGGAGAGGGAGCCAGAGCTGGGCAGGATTAGATCAGAAGGACAAGGCTGGTCCAGGCTGGCAGGCACCCAAGTGGGTCCCAGCACCCTGCTTTGGTCTGCACAGGAGTGAAACCCCAAGCTCAGCCCCTCTGCCCGGGCGCTGTGGGGGCACTGGCTGGGTGTTTTGACTGGGGTTACCCTGCACCAGAAAGGGGGGAGCACAGGTCAAACAAGGGGGTGTAGTCTGGGGTCCAGCCATGGATCCTTGGGATCTGCCTTGGGATGCAGCATCCTCCAGTGTCATGGGGTCAGAGCATGGCTTCCACGTCTCTCTCTCCCCGCAGGGTGTCTTTCTGCACCTTCCTTGCCCACGAGTATCCAGACCTGGTCCACAAGGTGATCATGATCAACGGAGGGGGCCCAACAGCGCTGGAACCCAGCCTCTGCTCCATCTTCAACATGCCCACCTGTGTGCTGCACTGTCTGTCCCCGTGCCTGGCCTGGAGCTTCCTCAAGTGAGTGGCTGTACCAGCACCACGGCGCTGGGGAGGGTTGTCCCCGGCCAGCCTGGCTTCCAGCCACCGTGGGCAGGGACACCGCGTCCTGCCAGCAGCAACCCCCATGCTCCTGTCCCCCCAGTGCCGAGGCACCACGCTGGGCTAACCCTCTGCCCGTGCCGGCTCTGTCCTGCAGGGCTGGCTTCGCTCGCCAGGGTGCCAAAGAGAAGCAGCTGCTGAAGGAAGGCAATGCCTTCAACGTGTCCTCCTTCGTGCTGCGCGCCATGATGAGTGGGCAGTACTGGCCGGAGGGTGATGAGGTTTACCATGCGGAGCTGGCTGTGCCCGTGCTCCTGGTCCATGGCATGCATGACAAGTTCGTCCCGGTGGAGGAGGACCAGCGAATGGCTGAGGTAAGGGACCGAGTGGGGCTGGGGGGGGTGGGCGAGGGCTGGGGTCCACCTGCCAGCACGTGGCAATGCAGGCAAGGGCCTCATCCTGGCACTGACGCCTGCTGCTGCTGCCATCTCCTTCCAGATCCTGCTGATAGCCTTCCTGAAGGTGATCGACGAGGGCAGCCACATGGTGATGATGGAGTGTCCCGAGACGGTGAACACGCTGCTCCACGAGTTCATCCTGTGGGAGCCCGAGACGCCAGCTGGGGACGGGCAAGGGGAGAAGAAATAAGGCAGCGGGACGTGGTGACCGGGCTGCTCCGATGGGAGAGATGTTTCGGAGCGGAGAGGGGTTTGCAAGACCAGAGGGGTGCGGCGGAGGCTGTCCTTGCTGGGAGCTCAGCCAATTTTCTTTCCCGGCCGCGTCGGAGGCTGCTGGCGGAGCACAGAGGCTCTCCAAGGCAGGGGTGCGTGGGGCCGGCAGTGGGAACATGGCAGACCTGGTCCCCGTCCCCTTGGGGATGGCATGGCAGCCACTGGAGCGTCTTCATCCTGTTTCTTTGTAGTATTATTTTCCTCACGCAGCAACCCCCCGGGGATGGAGAGGAGGCAGCCGCGTGGAGACTGGTCCCAACTGCAGCAGAAGAGGAAGAACTTGGAGGGGTTCCTTCAGGGAGAGTGTGTCAGCTCTGGCACCTTCCCAGCCAGGGCTGGAGGAGCTGAGCTGAGATTGCTTTAAGGGGAAGCCAAAGGCTCCTCAGCCTCAGCAGCGGGATTTGCCTCTCCGAGCCCTGCAGTGCCTCGCTCGAGCCATCTGTGGGGCTGGGAGGACAGGACCACCATTTTTGCCAGCAGCTGCACACATGGCATCCAGCAGCTCCTGCCTGGCACTGGCGAGGGTCTGCCTGCACAGCTCATCTCTGCCTGGCCAGGAGATGAGGACGAGGAGGTGACCTGCTCCAATGGGCACAGCCAGAAGGACCATCAGCTCCCCCGCCGTGGTGGGACTGGCTTGGCTGTGGTGGGGAGGACAACACCAAACCTGAGCTCTCCTGCGGTCCCTGATGCCACCATCCATGCAGTCACGTCCCCAACCGCCATCGCTTTAGGTACCGCAGCACCGGCTTCTGCAGAGCCCTCTGCTTCCTTCCTGCTGCCACATCCTCAAGATGCTCGGAGCCATCACCACCATGCAGCGATTCCCACAGCTTCCAATCCAGTCGCCCTTCCCAGCTTCCAGCTCCTCCGTGACTCTGGGACCCACCACCCACTCCCGGACCACATGCCCACGGGGATCACACCCATCCCTTGTGCACTGGGGGACCAGCAATACACCATCCCGTTGCTACTGTGTCCATCCTTACCGATGACTCCTGTATGGATCCACGGGATCTTGGAGCAACACGGGAGTGACGAAGCAAACCGCAACCATCTGATTGTAATGGACAACAGCTTGTTACCTGCTGATACCATTCTGTACATAACCCATAGGTCCCATCATCTCCTCCCCTCTGCTCTTCGCATCCTGCTGCCAGGAGCCAGGCAGGACCAAGAAGGTACACGAGAAGTGACGAGTGGGGACCCAGGTGCTGTTGTGAGGTCTGGGACCTCCCAGCCACACCAGGATGGGTAGGAGCCCGAGTGAGCCGGGAGGATGCTGTGCTCAGGGGATGGCCCCAGCCTCCCCGCTACCCCAAAGAGCGGAGCCGCTCCCTGCTTTGTTTCCCTCTTATTTACCCCCATCTAAACCAAAGAAACAACCAGTCCCACGGAAACCTCACCCTTGGCCCATGTCCCACCCAGACCCCCTCGCCCCAAATGGGGCTGGTACCACACCAAGGCACCCCAGGTTGGCTTGAGGGGCTCCTGGCTGGGCAGGGCTGCTTCAGCCGGAGCTCGCACCCACCTGCAATGCGCCTTCCCCAAGGCTGAGTCCATATTTCTCCCCAAACTGAGCGATGTAGAAGAGGAAGGGTCCCTCAGAGCCAGCCCCGGTGTGACGGGGACCCTGTGTGATGAGTGTCCCCAGGCAGCCCCCCTCTGTCCCAGCACCGGGGCAGAGCTGCCCCTCTGCCAGCGCCTGCCCCTGCCCACTGCTGCCACAACCTGTCTCATAATGAGAATTTTAATGACGCTGGGTTCAGATCGTTTCCATGAGCTTTCCCCTGCAACACCCCTCCCACCCCATCCCAGGCAGGGGAGACCCCACAGCACAGCTGGGGTCTGCAACGAGGGTACCCAGAAACACCACCATACCCCAAAACACGGCTCTGCCCCTGCCGTGACCCCCCAGCCGGCTCCAGGCAACTGTCGGTGCCCAGCTGCGGGCCACAGCTCTTCAACCTCTGTTTGCCATGGAGTCTGTGCCGCTTGTACCCACATCGCTTGTGCTAAGACCAAGGCAAACCACGCACCATAACCCCGCCGCTGAGCCACGCGCTGTGTTAGTGCCATTTCATACAGTAAAGCCGTGTTATATTCTCAGCCGTGTCTGACTCGATGATCGGAAGAGATGTGCCGGGCACGGGGTCTGTCCTAGGAGCACGGCAGAGCAGGGAATCGAAGCCAGAAATCACATACAGCTTGGATTTCTTAGCAAAAGAAGGCCTGCAGTGATTTATTTGTCACCCTTTAGAGAAATACAAAAATAGAAAAATTCTAGCCAGTGTTCACGACATAAAACCCGCACCCAGAGTGCAGCTGCCTCCTTGGACAGGGTAGAGGGGAGGTGCAGGCAGGGGGTGCCCCCCAGCACCCCAGGGTGCTCAGCGCCCACCCTGGATGTCCGCCGGCCGGAGTTGCCGCTCACCCTCGGCCAGGAAGATGCGCATGGCCCTGTGCAGCATGTGAACACCCAGGCGCCGGCGTTGGTCCGCTGGCCAGCTTGCCGCCACACCGTAGCAGTTCCCTTTCCTCTGGTTGGTGATGGTCTGCAGCCCTGCAGGGGACAGGGTCAGCACCCACAGACCCGGCCCCCTGCTCCCCATCAGCATCCACAGGGATGGAGGCAGCCCCCCACCCCAGGCAGTTTTTTCCCCGTAGAAGATGGGGGTTTGGGGGATCGTGTCCAGACCCTGTGCTGGCAACCAGGGACCCCAAAGTCCCCGTGTGCCCCAGGATGGGCTGCGTCCCCCCAGCGCCTGCATGGGGTGGGAGAGAGGGATGCAGGGAGTCGGAGTGATGGAGGAACCGATGCCAGGAGCTGCAGCAGGGGACCGGGGCAGCACCATTTCCCCCTGCCCAGCCCTGCTTACCCAGAGCCTCCACGAGGCAGCCCTCCCGTGTGTAAGCCTCTGCCGGGACAGTGTTCTGGAAGCAGTGCACAGAGATGACGCCCTGCCCGCTCGCCCAGATCTCCAGGATGCGCCGCACCTTGGGGCAACCCTACAGGACAGGAGGCACCATCACCATGGCCTCGAGCTCCCCAATGCAGCCCCCCATGCCCATCACCATGGTCCCAAGCCCCCCAGCCCATCCCACCTTCCGTGTCCCACCGCGGTGCTGGCTCAGCGCCTCGGCAAGGTGGCAGTAGGGTCGGGCACGCGTCCCCTTGCCCACATAGAAGATGGCTTCGATGAAGGTCCTGAAGCACTCGGCTGGGCTCAGGCGGTGGGAGCGGAGCGGCAGGTTCTGGGTGGTCCTGAGGGTGCAAAGCCCCAGCTTTGAGGCTTGATGCCTCCCAGGGGTCCTCACTCAGCCCCCCCCAGCATGGGGGACGTGTGGGGCAGTAGCATAGCCCTACCTGGGGTCGAGGAGGAGGTAGTTGAAGCTGGACTTGACCAGCCCTTCCCGCCAGTGCCGGCTCCGGTCGGGGCGGTCAAATTGCCGGACCAGTGCCAGCTCATCCTGGGTGCAGTCAGGGACACAGCCGGTCCGCAGCGCGGCCGCCAGCTCGGGGCTGTGCCCTGGAGCGGCTGTGCCGGCATCGGGGAGCACCATCAGTCCCACGCCGGCACTGTGGGGACCGGCCAGCCAAGCGGTGGGGAGGAATCGCTGGGACTCACCTGCCGGCCTCCCCCAGTGTCCCCTCACCAGCTCCTCCAGCCGCCGCAGGTACAGCCACCTGGTGAGCTCCGTGACGGGCCCTGGATCATCCCCCAGCGCCCGCAGCCGCCGGCGCAGAGCTTCATCCGAGAGGGGCCGCGGTGGTGCTGTGCACGCTCGCCCGTCCTGGGCCGTGGGGTCCTCGGGGCTGGCGATGGCCTCTGTGCTGGGGCTGTGCTGCTTGGTGGGTACCCGTCCCCGCTCTTCATCCTCGAGGTGGTCCGTGGTGCGGTGAGCGCCGCAGCCGGTGGGCGAGAGCGGGACGGCCGGGGTCCCCAGCTCCACCACAGTGCTGCCTGGCAGCCGAGGGGCTGGGAGGCGGCTGAAGGTCCCGTGGGGCCGTGGGGGCTGGCATGTCCCCAAGGGCAAGGTGTCCTGCCACCCAGAACCATCCTCCAGCACCCTGGGGTTGGGGCTGCCAGCAGCATGGGGGGAGTCCCAAGCATCCGATGGGGAGTCCTGGGGGTGGCCGTGGTCCCCAGCGACCACCAGGACCGTGGGGCTAGAGCTGGGGGAGCCCTGAGAATCTGATGGGGACTCCTGGGGATGGCCGTGGTCCCCAGGGACCAGCAGGACTGTGGGGCTAGATCCAGGGGAGCCCTGAGCATCTGATGGGGACTCCTGGGGATGGCCGTGGTCCCCAGGGACCAGCAGGACTGTGGGGCTAGATCCAGGGGAGCCCTGAGCATCTGACGGGGAGTCCTGGGGGCAGCCGTGGTCCCCAGGGACCAGCAGGACTGTGGGGCTGGAGCTAGGGGAGCTGCTGGCCCCTGGGGGCGAGCTGGGCTGGCTGGGGGCTCCAGGGAGGATCTCAGTGTCATCCAAAGAGCCTGTCCCCTCTCCATCCCTGCTAGACACATCCTCATCCCCCAGGGTGATGCAGCGCCCTGAGGTGGTGACAGGGTCCTTGGGGACACCCCGGGGTGCTCTGAGCCTGGGGGGCCTCTGAGGCATCTCCAGTGTCTCATCGAAGAGGGAGGAGGAAGAGGAGGCACTGAGCCGTGCTGCAGAGGCCCGGAGGCGGCTCTTTGTCCTGGGGGTGACGTGGCGGTGACTGTGGGGTTCCTGGTCCCAGGGGGTGACATCCCCAGTGGTGAGACTGGCCGGGCTGGGAAGGGGTCCTGGAGTGCAGGGGGGGGAACCCTGGAGGCTGCACCCCTGGAGCTGGGCAAGCAGCTCCCCTACATCACCCACATCTGAGCCATCCTTGCAGCAAGGGGCTGCCCTTGAGGTGCCCCAAAAATCCTCACTCTGCACCCGCTCCGCATTTGGGGGGCTGGCAGGGGGCAGCTCCCAGGTGGCAGCTCCGGTTGGGGAAGGGGCTTCGCCCAGCTCTGACCCTGCGGCTGCCCTGGGCTGGGGGGAGCGGCGGTGCCAAACCCCCGGGCACCCCCTGGCCTCGGTGGGCTCCATGGTCTCCACGGCAGTGACGAAGCGCTCGCTGGCACTGCTGCTGTCCCCAAGGCTGCTGCGGTCCCAGTCCCCAGCCCCAGCTTCGAGCACTGCCGTCCCCAGGTCGGGGGGCAGCCCAGCCCAGTGCCGGCCCAGTGCTCGTCCCCGGGGGACACTGCGACGGTGCTGAGCTGCAGCACCTGGGATGTCACCGTGCCACATCCCCGGGCTCTGGCACGCCACGGAGCAGCTGCTCAGGCCACCACGGAACACGGGAGCCACGGGAGATGCCCTGTGTGCCCCCAGGACCCTGCTACAAGACTGGGGCTGGGGGGAGTTCAGGGACCCACTGGGACCAAAATCCTGCTGGGGACAGGGGCTGTCCCCAGTGCTAGGCTTGAGGAGAGCCTGGGGGGGACCCCCCATCCTTCCCCCCATGGTCTGGCTCTGGGGTCCCTCCCCGAGCTCATCCCCGGCCGAAAGCAGCGTGCTGGAGGCGAGGGGCTGTGGGGGGAGAGCTGAGCCCCTGGGGTCTACCTGGGGCCATGGGGTGAAGGAGGGGATGGAGAGGGAAGGGGGCTCCGGGGGACAATCCAGCCAGAGCGGGGGCTCCCCCAAACCACAGCCGCCCCCCAGCTCCAGCTCCTCCAGCTGGGACCTGCGGGTGCTGCTCAGGGGCCCGGTCTCTGACCCATCCTCAGGGAGCTGGGAGAAGACGCTGTCTTCGGTGCCATCCTCGGTCAGGAAGGACAGGGAGCACCCAGGACCCCCCAGGTCTAGGGGCAGAGATGGGAGTCAGCATCCAGCCCAAACTGGGGGGCTGGATCAGCCCCCCGACACTTGCCCCGGCCATGGGGGCACCCTGGGGACCTCACCCTCCGTGGGGGCCCAACCTCGGGCATATTGCAAGTCCCGCAGGATCTGCACACACGCACGGTTGCCCTGTCCCAGCGCCAGGTCGATGGCTCGTTTCCCATCCTGCGGGGAGGGGACATTGCTGTCACTGCTGCCAGGGCCACCATGGGGTGACACGGCCCCGCCAGGGCCAGGAGGACACCCGCTGCTCACCCACCCCACCGATGACGAGGGTCCCAGCCCAGGCAGCACCTCCAAGGTACCGTCCTCATCCCCAAAGCTGTCCTCGCTAACCTGGTCTCGGAGCTCCGGGACCCCCCCTTTCTTCAGCGGGACCTCAAGGCACCTGCAGCACCCCCAGGACGCGGCAACGTGCAGCGGCATCAGCTCCTTGGCGGGGCCGGGGCCGGGG